AAAATCCTTCATATTTATAAATTATCATTCCAATGTTCGTCCAATTCTAAAATTTCCAGTTTTATTTGATAAGTTCCCGTCTAAATATGAGTTTTTCCTTCCAACTACATGTATTTGTTCAAGATGGAGTGAAAGTCTGGATGAGTTTATGAAATATTTTAATTAAATTTTCATTTTACTACAACAAATATCGTCTAATTTAGATTGGATTAACCTATTTCTGCCTGAAAATCCTTATTTAGAATGACAATGTAATTAAAATATTTCATGAACTCATCCACACTTTCATTCCATCTCGAGCATGAAGTCCAAATAAGAAGGGATAACCTATTCTTGGAATGAAAGTTTGCAAGTAAGATGAAAAAATTTAAAATTGGAATGACATTTTTTAAGATGGAATGACAATTTGAAATTAAAATTGTAATTTTACTATAGAATGATTATTTAATTCTGGAAATTTTTTTCGTTGGATTTTAAATTGATTAATTGATTGAAAAAAAAAAAAAAAAGGGGGGGGGGGGGGGGTAGAGACGGCGACCTAGAGGATGATGTCGAGAAGGAGATGTGGGGAGCTGGATGGGTAGGGATGGCAGCACAGTCGCGAACGACAACGATAGGGATGAGGAGGGGGCGGGGGAGGAGGAGGAGGCATTGAAAGGGAAGGAGGACGACGAGGACGACAAATAAGATGAAGAAGAAGAACACGAGGAGGAAGATGAAGAAGAGGAGGAGAAAGATGAAGAGGAGAAGGAGGAGGAGGAAGAAGAGAGTCAGACTTAGTCACGTCCGGCCGCCTTTTTTTTTTTTTCAATCAATCAATCAATCAAAATCCGATCCAATCAATTGATTGGATTGGATCTTGAAAGCCCAATTGATACATTAGATCTTGATTTTCAAGATCCAAACCAATCTATTGATTGGATCAGATTTTCAATTGATTGATTGATTGATTGGAAAAAAAAAAAAAGATCGGGGCGGGAAGTAAAGATGACGACCTAGAGGACGATGGTGAGAAGGGGATGTGGGGAGTTGGACGCGTAGGGATGGCGACACGACCGCGGACGATGGCGATAGGGATGAGGAGAAGGAGGACAAGAAGGATGGGGAGGAGGAGGAGGCAGCATTGAAAGGGGAGGAGGGCAACGACGACGAGGACGACAACTTGAAGGAGGACGAAAAAAAAGAACACGAGGAGGAAGGGGGCAAAGAAAAAGAGGACGAAGAGGAGGAGGAGGAGAAGGAGGAAGAAGAATACCCGGAGGAGGAGGAGGAAGAAGAGTACCCGGAGGAGGAGGAGGAGGAGGAGGAGGAGGAGGATGGCATCGATGAAGAAGAAGAAGAGGAGGTGGCAGCGAAGGAGGAGAGGGAGCAGGAGTGGGCCGCGGCGATGGACACAAATTAGGACGCGACAATGGACGAGGACGAGGCGGAGGAGGAGGGGCAAGAGGGGGTGGAGGAGGAGGAGGATCATGACGAGGAAGAAGAGAAGGATGAAGAGGAGGAGGACGATGAGAAGGAGGATAAGTAAGAAGAAGATGAAGAGGAGGAGGAGGAGAAGGAGGAGGAAGAAAAGGAGGAGGAACAGGAGGAGGAGGGGGAGATGGACGACGAGGAGTACAAAGAAGAGGAGGAGGAGGACAAGGACGACAAAGAATAAGAAGTGGAGGAGGAGGAGGAAGAAGAAGAGGAGGAGGAGGAGGAGGACGGCAACAAAGAAGAAGAGGAGGAGGAGGAGGAGGAGGATGGCGGCGATTGACAATGACAAGGAGGAGGATGTGGAGGGCATCGAGGAGGAAGAAGATGAGGAGAAGAAGGAGGAGGATGGGGAGCAGAAGGAAGTGGACGGAAAGGAGGAGGAGGAGGAGGAGGAGGAGGAGGAGGAGGAGGAGGAAGGAGAGGAGGAGGAGGAGGAGGAGAGAGATAAGAAAGATATGTAGAGGGAGGAAGGAGGAGGGTACGCACCTGCACAGGGGTTGGAACACATGGTGGGTTGTGGTCGTTGGAGCATGATTTCGGCAAAGTCCAACTCCCACAATGTGCCCAAAACGCGCATGGACAAACGACGGTTGGGAGCGCAATTCGAATTTGAATTTGGACCGATCTGGGTCATAAATCTCTTAAGATCCGACGGCCCAGACCGGGCCATTTTTATTTTCATTTTCATAGGTCCTATCGGCGTCACAAAAATCGCCAAACCTTCTAGGGGTACTATGTACCCTAAACCCCATCCCCCCAGGCCCAAAAACCCAATCAAACCCCTTCC